ATACAATTATATCTATACATATATCATTGTATATAGTTTTTATACATACATTTTTCTGTACATATAATAAATATACAGTTTGATCTGTACAATTGTATTTGTACATATATCCTATTGTACAAATACGTGTACAATCGTTTGCGACTTGTATACTAATATTTGTACACTTATTAAGTTGTACAGATGTACATATGTACACGTTTTAAGTTGTACGGATAAGATCTGTACACTTAGTAAATTGTACATATCTAAAATTAATGAAAATTATTTGTTATTATCAAATAAAATCTTCAAACAAAATGCATATCATATAATAGAGAAAAAACATAGATTTTTATATATTTGAAACTTGTAAAAAAAAAAAAGTTCATTGACTAGTATTTTAGTTTTTAGATTGAAGGGAGAATGTAATTAAAAAGAAAAAAGAAAAATAAATAAATATTAATTAAAAATCTGAGAGGAAAGAAAAATATAATTTAATTATATATTAATGGCATTGTTGTAAATAAGATGTTTTGGTGAGGATTGACAAGGCAAAGAAATAAAATAGCATAGTAAAAATGTGGATTTTGCTAATTGTAAATAGTAATTGTACTATTTCTACAATTATGTTTCAAAAACTGTCTATTTCTCAAATTATTCCTAGTTAATTTAATGTGGAGGAACTGAAATTTAAACCTTCGTTGATTTTAGTCTTTTATTATTTGCTACTAAGGTTATTAAGATCAAGGTACGAGTACATACTCGAAATATATCATAAACTTAGGTGATCACCACAATTTCACTAAAATAAAATTTTGAATTTTGAAAGAGCTGCTTATAGCAATCTTTATGTACTACAAGGCGCACAACTATATAAAATCATCCTATATTTTATAACTACAAGAAATTACTTATTTTTTTACGATTAATATCATAAGAAAATTATTGTATTAACTATGATCTCGAAGACAATAATTAGTGGCTGAAATAAGTAATTATAAAGCTGCATTTGTATCTTAATCATGGAATAAAAGATTTAAAAATAAGTAAAATAAATTTAAATAGAACTGTAATGTTTTGTATGAACAAACAATTGCTTTTAGGGTACATATTAATGTCTAACATGTATGTTAGATTATTCCCAACCGTGTAGTATATGTTATATTTAGAGTATTTGCATGCTATCTTAACTATTGGAAAAAGAAACTTAAGGGATCAAGAGACTTACTTAATGCATGGAGTAGAAACACATCACACGCGCTGTTTCCTATGAACAAATCAACAAACAATTAAAAATCTAAGGAAAGAGATCAATCTCTAACACGAAAAATAGTTTTGGAGCAATTTTCATTTTAACTACCGAAAAGTATAAAAATAGAGATCAAACTGGGGCATCACGATGGCATCGAAGCCCTCTGAACAGTCTATGTAAACTTTTGCCAACGAAGTAGAAGGTTTGGGGTACATGATAAGATGCATGATTGGCTATAGTTAGATAGATGTTATTTTTTTGTATTGACTGTTAAGATTTCGTGATAAAGGTGCATTTTTCTAGCGAATGGCTAACGTTATCTGTATACATGAATGACATTTATATTAACAGGGAAAATTTCTCAACTTTTCTTTGTCTCTTATATCAAGGAGTGCAAAACTGCGAATGTAAAAACGGAGAACTTGGCACGCAGAATTTGTTCCATTCACATTTGATCAAATATATAAACAATTGCTCCAATTAACTCGTTTGAGTTAATCTAATAGTATTGCTGACAAAATAAAATCAAATTGACGTAGTGGTCAAACCCCTCGGTTACCGAAAACATATGAACATTAGGAGGTCACAAGTTTAATTAAAGTAGGGAAAGGTCGGCTCTCTAAAGAGGAGTTACATTACATAGTTTGGGCCTCATTCTAAGAATGTATGGGCCTCGGTTCGGAACTTCTAGTCATCGAAAAAATGAAATCAAGAAAAGATTTGATGTGAGGGAAATTGTAAAGAAGTTCTTTAAAAACTTTACACGTATTGTTTCCTGCGAACAATCAGTTGATCTTAAAAGGACAAATCAATTTTTAACATGAAAGAAACCAAGATTAAAGCAAGAAAAACCGTACAATGAGATTTTCCACACGTGTTCTATGTCAACAACAATTAATCTGTCGTATGTGTCTTTCAGGCAACAATCACAAACACATACGACAAATTTCAGAGCATTTGTGTCATAACATTTGGGAGAAGAGAGACAAAAAGAGATCATACGATTACTACGATGAAACCGTTAAACTAGGATTCTTCACACGCATTTTTTGTTTTTTTTAACAGACAACTGACTTTACCGAAATATATCAATCTCTGACAAATACGATATATATTAAAGCAAATTCCGATCTTTTTGGATGCCGTCTTAATTATTAAAGAAATCTGAGAAAAATAATCATTAGTCTTTTACTCAAACATTTTTTGGATGTCGCTCTTAAAGAAAATATAGAGAAAAAACCGTTATTCCTTAAAAAACATACAATCGAACATTTATAAACTAATAGTGTTGAGATTATCATCTTTTATTAATCGGTAAAAAATGAATTTAAATATAAATTCAGTATCAGAAAAGTTGTTAATTTATAAAAATTATTTCTTTCTTTTCAAAACCACCATTCGCTACATTATTTCTCACTTGTAACTCAAACATACAATAATTATTTCTCACTTTCAAAAATTTCAAAAAAATTATAATGCTAATAATGTACATATTAAATTTAGAGAAAAAAGCTATTAGTCTTTTTTACATTCAAACATATTGTACTAATAATGTTGAGATTATAATATTTTGTTCATCTGTAAAAAACTAATGTAATAAAACATTAATTTATAATCAGATTTTTTTTTAATTATGGTAATTTACTTAATCTTAAGTTCTTAACATAAAAAAAAAAATTCCTTTTCAATACCGCCATTTACCAAATTATTTCTCTCTTTTTAATTAAACAGACAATAAAAATTTCTAAACTGATGATGTCCAGACTAAAATATTTTATTAAATGGTAATTAGGGATCAGAAAATTTTGTAAATCTGTTGAGTTTTTTTTTTTGGAACAAATCTATTGATTTTTTTTTAAAAACAAATAAATCTATTGAGATTTTAATTTATAAAAGTTCATCGTAATTTGATAACTTGGAACATGAAACTTGTTTCTGCCTTTTTCAAAACCGCCCATTCACTAAATTATGGCAAAAGAAGAAAAACAATCCATGCTTTATAACTGTCAATTTTCGTGTTAAATCTCAAAGCCCAAAGAGAATAATATGAAAAAACAAACAAATGGTTGTTTTCGAGGAAAAAGAGGAGCAAAAAAATACAAAGAAACAAAACAAAATAAAAGTTGCTGTTTTGTTTAGGCAAAAATTATTAATAATTGTTTTTTGTGGAAGTAAAGAAGGAGGACAAGCGTGAATAAGAGAAGAGTACTGTAACCGTTGCTTTTAAAGCGGCAACGCGCCGCCTCATACGACAACCTCGTCAGACCGAACCGAGTTCGGTCACGTGTCTTGTCTTAATGCGCGTGTGATACACTCTCTACGAGTGAGAGTGTTGATGAGTAGAAGAATTTGCTTAATAAAGGACGGATCAAAAAAATTAAAAAAAAAAAAAAAAAAAAAGCTGAGAAAGTAAATGGGAAACGACGACTGAAGACTCTTCTTCTTCGTCTTCTTCTTCATCGTTCATTCATTTCTCATGTTTTCGATTTAAAACCTCTGGATTTGGTTTTTGGATTCGGGGGGCTATAAATTCGTTTGGTGGGTCTTGTGATTTTAGTGAGTAATTTGCTCGATCGGGTCTTTCTTTTTCACTATACTTCTCTCTTCTCTCTTCTCTCTTCTCTTTTGATTCTTTTACTCATCGGGTGAGAAGGAAGCGTCTTTCATGTGTTCTTCTGTGTAATCGACTGTTTTGTTTGCGTTAGAAGCTTTAGGTAAACCCTAATTTCTTCTTTTACTCTACTTGATTCATCGGATCTGTGTTTTGTGTATGTTCTTCAGCTTTTTATTTTTTCTTTTCTGGGTTTTGGGTTTTGAGGTATGATCTTTAGCTTCATCTCTGTTAGGACTTTAAAGTTATAAGCTTTTGGGGGTTTTTTGTAATGGCTATTGATTCTGCTAATTTGTTTAGAGAAATGTAATTTATGGAATCTAATTGTGAATGAGTTTAACCCTAGTTGGTATACTTGCTATCTTTGTTTTGAGTAAAGCGTGTTTGTCTCAGTTTGGGAGGGTTTGCATGGTGTTTAGAATCAGGTCTTTGAGAGCTAAAGCTGTTGTTTATGTTTCAAGGTTCTTGCTTTCTTTTCAGTAATCAAATCTTTTTTGTTCATCTTGATGGTAGTAAAGAGATTTTTCTGATGACTAGTTTTGTGAATGTATCATTTGTTTTTAGTTTCGAGTTTCTGTGAAGCTAATTGTCTCTAGTTGAGTGATTTGCTTGTTTTATATTTGGTTTTAAAGACTTTTAGTGTGTGTGTGTATCCTTGCAGTTTGGTCAAAGAATTGTAGCAGTAAAAGACCGAGATTGGGAAGATGCTCGAGGGGGCAAAGTTCAACGTGATGGCTGTTGGGAATCATCAGAACAACGACAACCACTACTATGCTTTTACTCAAGAGTTTTATCAGAAACTTAATGAAGGTTCAAACATGTCCATCGAGAGTATGCAGACAAGTAACGCTGGAGGATCTGTCTCAATGTCTGTGGATAACAGTAGTGTTGGTTCCAGCGATGCTCTCATTGGCCACCCCGGCTTGAAGCCCTTACGCCATGTCTACTCACTCTCGGTTGGGCAAAGCGTATTTCGTCCGGGAAGAGTTACCCATGCATTGAATGATGATGCCTTGGCTCAAGCACTGATGGATAACAGGTATCCAACCGAAGGGCTGGCGAACTATGAAGAGTGGACGATAGATCTGAGGAACCTCAACATGGGTCCTGCCTTTGCTCAAGGGGCTTTTGGCAAGTTATACAAAGGGACATACAATGGGGAGGATGTAGCGATCAAGATACTTGAGAGGCCAGAGAACAGCCCAGAAAAGGCACAGTTCATGGAACAGCAGTTTCAGCAAGAGGTATCTATGCTTGCTAATTTGAAGCACCAAAACATCGTGAGGTTCATTGGTGCATGTCGCAAGCCAATGGTGTGGTGTATAGTTACTGAATACGCCAAAGGAGGCTCTGTGAGGCAGTTTCTGACAAAGAGACAGAACCGAGCTGTCCCTTTAAAGTTAGCTGTTAAGCAGGCATTGGATGTTGCTAGGGGTATGGCTTATGTCCATGGACGCAACTTCATACACAGGGATCTCAAATCAGATAACCTTCTCATCTCAGCAGATAAGTCCATCAAGATTGCAGATTTTGGTGTTGCAAGGATCGAAGTTCAAACAGAAGGAATGACACCGGAAACTGGGACTTACAGATGGATGGCTCCGTAAGTTTCCAAAGGGATTTTTGATCTTACGTCCTTTTTTTTTGTTGTTTTTATCATTCTTGCCTTCTGCAAGTTAACATTAAAGTAACATATGTTTTTGTTGATGCAGAGAGATGATACAGCACAGAGCCTACAATCAAAAGGTGGATGTGTATAGTTTTGGGATTGTGCTGTGGGAGTTAATCACAGGACTGTTACCGTTCCAGAACATGACCGCTGTACAGGCAGCGTTTGCTGTTGTAAACCGAGGAGTGCGTCCAACAGTCCCAAATGATTGTCTCCCTGTGCTGAGTGATATCATGACTCGATGCTGGGATGCTAATCCAGAAGTCCGTCCATGTTTTGTGGAGGTTGTGAAGCTGCTTGAAGCTGCGGAAACAGAGATAATGACAACAGCAAGAAAAGCCCGTTTCAGATGTTGCTTGAGCCAGCCTATGACGATTGACTGAAAAAAAATAAACCCACCCACCCCCAAGAAAATAACAAAGAGAGAAAGAAGAAGATATAAGCAAAAAAAAATGCCTTTAGATATAAGGTTGTGTGTCTGTCCTATGTCAGTGTCAGTGTGTGTTTGTGTATCTATAAAAATCTAAATGTATTTTGTTTTTCTCAACATAGGAGAAGTAAGTAACCCCCACCACCACCATTTTAGAGTTACTGATTTTCTAGTTTTTTTTTTTTTTTTTTTTCCTTATTTGTGTTAATTAAGAAAATATCAAATGTGGGAACTCTGTGTCCCAATAAGTGTTTGTTTAGTAGCATTTCGTCACTTGTGTTTGTTGCTAACTTTACTCACACTGTCATCATCCAACACACTGTTTTTGTCCCAGATGAGTTAAAATTCGATCATAGTGTGCTAAAATCCAACCAGAGTGGAACTGATTGTGACATTCTCTCGTTCTATTGTAGAGAACTGTACAATGGTGGTTTTTACGCTCTCCTTTTGTATTACCAAACTGTTCCTTTGGGGTTTAACTTCCAGTAACTAGCTGTGGTGCTGAAACTACTCCAGAAGCTATCTGAAACGTTGGAAACCAGATCAGTTGCAAGACCTAAGACTTCGGTTGTGTCAGAAAAAGAGTAATATGGTTGGGGGGATATAGAAGAATTGAAATGGACCTTGATGGGTCTCGAGTAGAACATTGTCCCGCTCAGAGCCATTGCTCTGTTAACTGACTCCTTTGTAGCAAAAGTCACAAAAGCAGTACTGGAGAAGGGACGATTTCATTTGCAATAAGTATTTTGTTTTGCTTAAAATGGCCTTGTGCGTAGTATGTTGCAAACAAGCAAGAGTATATGAGGAAGAGAGGATGTTTTACCCCTTTGGATGCTGAGTTACTGGATCAGTTACAATTGTAACGTTTTCGACAGCTCCACACTTGCTGCTAAATAACATTGATATAGCTTCCTTCTTTGCTGCATAGTAAACCTGAAAAATTCATGGATAAGTTACTTAGATGAGCTCCAGATATTCTTCAGTGTTTGTGAGTTTCAATATTAGAATGAATCAGAGAGAATTCGGCAATTTCTCAAATTTAGAGTCATGTATAGCAAGGAAATAGATCATGCACCAAGAAATTTAAGATAGAACCCTGTAAGCATTACATTAGTAACTCGAATGATTCTTGATTCTGTAACATCGTGCTGATATTGCGATTCGCCTGCACAGGGGAATTTACCTGGTGCAATGAGGCAGCATGACAGTCAGGGAAGTAGTTAAGCTAAAATGACTAATTCTAAATGGAGGGCAAGAATTAGCTGTTCATAAACGTAGAGTTTCCATACCAGATTGTGGTGAGCGTTTGAGTTCTTCAACTTTCTGTTTCTTCAATTGCTTGGATTGATTAACTCGGAGTTCTAGTTGTTGCAGCTTTTCTTTCACGTTCTTTATTTCCTGATAAAAGAAAGAACATGATCATTTGAGATGTGAGATGTGATTCTTATCAATAACAGCAATAAACCATATCTATCATATTATAGAACAGCACGTACTGAAAAAAGATCTGACTTTGGAGACTGAGAGGAAAGCAGGCTTGGCTTTTCAACATCCTGTTCAGCTTGTTTATTTTGGAGAACACTAGTAAACGCTCCTGAATTGGCGTTGGTGATGCCATAACGCCTCTTTCTACTGAGGTTATACACGGTATGAGGTTCAGGGGATGTGATAGATCCACTCTTGGGTTTCTGACCTTTATCGGATTGGAAAATTCTGTGCCTGTAACCAACTGCAGGAATTTCTCTTTGAAATGTCTCGCCATACGCTGCAGGAAATGGTGGTCCATGCTGCTGAAGCAAAAAGTTTTCCTGTGCTTGGATACCAAACTTAGACAATCTAGGGCTTTCTGCGTCAAGAACACGTTTGGACCTTGCTCGGCCCAAACGATCCCAAACACTAACACGAGGCATTGTTTCTTGGTGCGAAGATGCATTAAGGGATCTTGCAGACACAGCTCTTCCTGAGAGGTTTTTATGAGTGCAAAAATGTCACTCGTCATATTGTCAAAAGATCATAACTTCTCAAGAAGCAAAATAGTACCTGAAAGAACAGATTGAGAATCCATTTCTCTTTCTGGCAAGTATGGGCGCTTCCGTTTACTCCTATTATCCATGGACTTTATCACATATGTACAAGGATCAATTACGAGATGGAAACTGCATTACAAATTTGAGAAAGCAACTAAGAGCCATAAATGAACCTTCCAACCTTTTCATCTTTAGCAGAACTCCTACCACAAGGTTGTTTCATGGCAACAATGACAGAGCGTAGTACTTTTCTAGAGTAACCAGATGACTTCCAATCGTCTTTCTCTTTTGGTTGTGCCCTTCTACAAGGGATATCCATGAACTCTTGTCCTACCATCTTCATGTTTTTAAGTTTTGGTGATACAGGAGCCTCAGCGTCTTCTATGGGAGCAGTAACTGATATCAGCTGTTCCTGAAAAGCCATTCACATTAAAACCATGACCAAGAAACTGGTGCATCATTCAAACATATAAAAGAAACAGATGTTTTATTCTCACTTTCATCGAATCAGTAGCATCGGAAGCTTTCTGATCACAGTCATCATTCTTTATGTAGCTTAAATCTTGTTCGACTGGAGTATCATGAGAGCCAAAGTCAACACCAGTCCTAGGTTCAGAAGCAGAATTTTCTTGTTTGCCTAGAGAGAAATACTTCAGAAGAAGATCCCATAAGCTGAAAAGGAAAGCACACAGTTGGAATAGCATTTTAGTAACTGATACCTTTTCAACGACCCAATGTATCAAGCCAACAAAAAAAAAGGGATGCAAATAGCAAACCAGGCAACAAATCCCCAAGATTCTTCTCCAAGAAATGCGTCCAAATCTTCTCTTGCCTGACTCTGACTCTTTCCATTACAAACAAGCACTGTAACATACTCCTGAAACAAGCTGATTCATCAGTAAACACGAAAACCACCTCATCTTCACACCAAATCAGTCATCAACCTGCAATTCTCTGCTCCCACGGTTCACATAGACAATTGTACAAGTTGAAAACAGTCCAAACAAAGTCATTAGATACACATAGGCGTATACAGATCTTGTAACTCAGATAATCAAAAATCCTTATGCAACATAACCTCATACAAGAGTATGATTACGAATATAAGGTTACAACTTACAAATCAGCAACAACACTCTCATCGATAATAAGTTTCCATCGAACAATCAACACATAGGAACCAGAGTACCAAATCCATTGGGAACAATTTCACAAATACGAGACAGACGAAGAAGAAAACTACAAGTTGTCTTAGTAAACCAAGGAATTCGAAAACAAAAACCTAAGAATAGTCTCTAAAACAAGAAGGAAGTTGAAATCAAAGAAGATGACGAACAGAGAAGACGTCGTCGATGTAATCGTCGGAGAAGCGAGGAAGCATATCGGAGACTATGGTTTTGAGTCGAGAAGCGGACTCCGATTCTCTCGACATCGGGAATGTGAGTGCGCCTACTCCTTCAGCCATCTTCGTTTCACTGGACTTGTACCTTTTCGGCGCCGCGATTCTCGGATTATCGCTCGTCGCCGGTGAATTTGTGCGACGGATTCGTCGGACCCAAGTGAGCGCAGCTTTTGAGAAAACGACAAAAAAATGAACACAGTAGTGTATGTATTCACAATTCTGCGTCACGCTTTTACAATTTCGCTCCCTCACTCACACATTAACTATTTTGGAGTATAAGGTTTTTAATTAACAAGTTCTTTTTCTTAATTAAACAGCTTTAAGTTAAAATGTTGACGAACAAAAAATATGTAGACTATTAATTAGCTATTGAAAATGTTTTTTTTTGTAACCACTAACCAAACTTTTTAATTAAAATAAAATTTTATTTTGGTAACCACAAAAAGTATATAGAATATGATTAATTAGCTATTGAATTAATATGAATGATTATCAAGGTGACAACCTAATTAACCGCTATCAAGGACTCAAGGTGGTGTCCGATCCGCTCAGATGGAAGCATACGTTGTCACGACCCATTTTTTGGACGGTTCGTGAATTTGGCGCTGTTTCCACGGGATGTTTTCGATTCGGGTAGGTTTATGTTTTACTCAGAAGAGTGCAGGATTCGAGTTGATGAATCTTTCAGATGAATTAAGTAGATCTACTCGATAGGTTTGAATGTATGTTGTTGATTGAAGATTAAATTTTAAAAAAGGGAATAGGTCATCTCTGCATAACTTGGTCGTGATTTGGAGCTGATCACCTGATAAACCCAAAGGAGAGAGAAACCAATCAAAGATGATCCAAGAGATGAATGATGACTCAAAAATATATGGAGATTGTGAAGTGTAGCACGGTCTTCTAAAATAAGAATGTGACAAGTGGTATTAGAGGCAAGAACGTAAACGTTCGTTGTTTACTCCCAGCTCTCGATACGAGACGGGTAGGCGTGGGGAACCTTGTTCGGTGGCGCAACGATGGTTGAGGGTGAGGTGTCGAATCGAAGTGGGGGTAGGAGTTTACCCCACAATGAACAACGTGCGACCTTGAGGAACCGTTTTATTGGGACGGTTCGTGACTGTTGCGTTGCTTCCACGGAGTCAAAGCCATTCCAACTGGGCATGTTAATATGCTTCAGTGAGGGAAAATGCATGAATCGGGTTGACGAGTCCCTTCGAAGGAGCTTGACAGATGCACTCGATAGGTTCAGATGTCTGTTATTGATCGACGATCAGACTTATCCACAAAATGGTCGTGATCTGGAGCCGATCACCTGATAAGTCCAAAGCAGTACGCAATCAGTCGAAGATGATCCAATGGATGAATGCTGACTCTACAATACTTAGAGATTGTCGAGTGGTGCACGATCTTCTGAAATAAACTTGTGACAATGTGCTGGCTAGAAAAGCCGTTCTATCTGACATATTAGGTCAGACATGAGGGGATAGATTCAATGCTTCTTGTTGTCAAGTCGGGACAAGAAGATGGTGGACACTAGTTATCTTTGATTTGGTCTAGTCTGGAAAAAGTGTTGCATGTAAGATTTGATGGTGGTACTAGGGTGTCGCTCTAGATCTATTAGTCGTCGACAGGGAAGCAAAGTAAGTAGTGTCCTTTGCTAACACTGAATATCTTGGACGGGAATCGATGTTTCTGATATATAGACCAAACTTCGATTTACATTTCCAACATGTTATTTTTTCCAAATTTTTTTTCTTCTGTACACCGTTCGGAATTTTTATTCTATTTTATATTTACCCATTTAAAAATCAATAAAATAAATATTAAAAACGAGGATAAACTGATGTAGTCTAGTAAAATATTATTTTTTATTATTTCTAACTCTTTTATAGGAACACGTATTGTCTATATTTTTTTCTATTTATAGTAGTAAATCATCTTTAAATACAACAAGTAGATGAATGATCATAAGCATTCTATCAAAAAAAATCAGAAACTAAAAGCAAAAATGGCTAAAAGTGTAATCATCGTTGGTTTCATCACTTGTATGATGATTTTCTTATTATTAACAGGTAATATACATTATGATACTTTTGGAAATCTTTTTCTTATTTGTGTTTAAATTACATATAACTACTTTTTTATCATATTTTTAAACATGGTTTTTAAGAAAATTATTAGCCTGTGTAAAAACTAGTAAAAGTAATAAAAAAAGATTCTATTTTGTTTTGCTTCCTAGCTTGGTGTAAACTACTTTCTAGATTACTATTCAAATCTTGTAATTTTTTCTCAAAAGTTTGTTTAGCGCTTAAATATACAGATTATTTCGCGTGAGTTTAGCGTTTATATATTTAAAATTCAAAAAGCTAAAAACATATGTCAATACTAGCGCAATTTACATGTGTTTCAATTTCTTTAACAAAATTCGAACCTTTGAAAGCACATTTGTTTTTAAATGATCAACATCATATTATATATGTGATGTGAAATGGGTTTCATAATTATTTTTTAAGGATTCCATTACATTTAGTCATCATTATCATTAGATCAAGGATAAGCCAAAAAATTTTGGGAAGAAAATCTAACATCTAATTGATCAAAACATAAATGAATAAGTGTCTTTTCTATAACATAATATTTGTTATACTTAGTAAGATCTATAACTAAAACAAAGATTTTTCTTTTTTAATTAGAGAGATTTTGAAGGCTTCTCACTCATTTCTCACATATCGATTCTTTAATTTATTAGGAATATCAAGAGTGCAAGCTTCACCTAAGTTGAAGCCTGCACCAAAAAATTGTCAAAAGCATAAATCATATTTCGCACGTGGGACTTGTGAAAAAGGTAAAGACGGTCCTGCAGCATGCAAAAAATCTTGTACAGATAGACCAGGTATTAAAGACGGTACATGTGAATCGTCTAAGGGCCGCGATGGCAAAGAATATATATCTTGCTTCTGTCACTTTTGCACATGATGAGATGATCATATATGAGAAGCATCAGTGAAAGTTACAAATTATTATGAGATCATAGATGATAAGCATTTGTGAAGGTTACAAACTTCAAATCATATGAGAATAATTATTCATATTATTGTCTTGCACCAATAATGTAATCATAAGGACTGGGGTATAATTATCATATAATACTTTCAACTCATGCATGCAGAGTTATTATATTTTATGGTTACGATTGGTAAATATTGCATACTTATAAAATAAGGTTTTATGCAATTTTATAAATAAGATTTTGTGCAATTGGTAAAACCCTCAAAGTCGCTATTTTTTGCAATGTTACCATCCAAATCTAGAAAATGCAAGTCAATCTTTCAAAGTTATAATAAATTCGCGATTACCAAAAAAAAAAGATAATAAATTCGCAATATGATTATATTTGCATTTTTTGGATATAAAAGATAAAGTTGCAAAAATTGACGAGTTGAAGGATTTATTTGCACAAACCTTATAAAATTAAACGACATAACTTTCATGATACAATTTGCAACGGAAACTCAAAAAATGAAAATCCCAAAAAAGAAAAAAATGCGATTGCAATCATATTTCTAATTGCACAACGGATGAGATCACATACAAATTTACATTTTATAACCAAATTACTTTTTAATATGATTCCGAACATTATCTCCACTCTACATTGTTAAGCAAAAAATAAACTCTAATAGTTAATAATATGTCACATTAATATATTTACAAACGTTATGCAAGAGCGCACAGCTTTGAAACTAATAGATTATTATATGAAAAACCCCGATTTTGTACACAGCTATAATATTATTCGGTTTAAAGTTTAAACCTAAAATTGTGTATGTTCTCCTTAATTAAGTACGTTTGATTCGGTTACGTCCGGTTCAATTCGATTAAAAACCATGCATATTGTAACGGTCGATTCAATTCGGTTACGTCCGGTTCAATTCAGTTAGAATCGTTTCACCGTAAACCAAACCCACTCTAGCTGTATAAATCGAACTGCAAAACTAAAAATAATAAAAACCCTGCAAAAACCTTTGAGCTTCGTCGTCGTTGTTCTTCGTCGTCGTTGCTCAATCGAACAAGAAAAGCTTCATTTTCCGATCACCGATTTGCTCCGAAGTCCAAAGTGTGAGAGAGAATGCCTTTGGGAGAGAGAGCAGGATGGGAGAAGAGCTTTTTGTGCCGTTGAAACTGATTTCTCCGACGATTTTAAATCTCTTCTCGCTTTCAACACTGGCTATGGCCGATTCGATTTTGTTCTCACTCCTTTGGTTTGTAACCTCCTCTCTTTGAAATCTTTTCTTCAGTCTCGTTTCTCGTAGTTTCGTACATTAATGGCGTTCTTCTCCTTCTCCTTCTTTTTCTTTGTTTATCGTGTAGATGAATCCTTCGTATAGGCTTCTTTTAGTCGATGGAAACATTTCGGATACTAAGGCTCTTCCATTCGCTGGCTCTGATTTGGTTGTGTCACCTCCGGAATTGAAATTTCGTGTAACTGGTATGAGTCTTTCGTTTTCTTGCGGTGTTCTTTTTTCTTAAATTGCGTATGAGAATGAACAATTGGGGATTGAATCTGTGGTTGATTTCGTTAATTAGGTAAATTTAGTTCGTGGATTGATCTTGATTCTGAAGATGAGATCGTGCGGATGGATTCAGAAACCACATTGAAGCAAGAATTAGACTGGGCTAAGCATATCTCTTTACGGGTTTGTGTTTACGATGGGATAAGCAAGAATGAAAAGTGTTAATCGGGTCAAAAATTGTGTCGTGTTAATGTGTTTTTGTTTGTTGGTGATAATGTGGCAGTCATGCCTTCTTCCTACTCCTAAAGGGACTTCATGCGCCAATTATGCTAGATGTGTGAACCAGATCTTACAAGGCTTGCCTGATATGGAGGTACTCTTCCTTCTTTTTGATGTCTGTTAAGCTTTACAGGAACCTATTCAATCAAAGCTCTAATACTTTGTTTTTGTGTCTTCTTGATTCTTGCTTCGATCTGATTCTGCAATGAAGTTATGGCTTAGGATTCCGCTAATGGATTCTGATGAAGAAGATCCAGTAAGATTCCTTTCTGTGCCTTTAAAATTTATAGTGATCATTTTGATTCTGTGATATAGACAGATGGAATGTCTTTAATCTCATCACCTGATACACTGTTCTATGTATGCAGAAAGATTCCTGGGAGCTGTGGAATTCATTTCGTCTTCTTTGTGACCATTACCATAAACTGCATGTTGCTCTTGACGTCGAGTGAGTCCTGAGAAAACCCTTGATTAAGTGTTTTTTGTTTCTTTCCTTTAGCAGACATAACAATTCTTCCTTTCTATAGGAGTAAGCTACCATCTGAAAATGCACTAGGGCGATGGTTTGGAGAGCCGGTGAAAGCAGCCATAGTGAGCACTGAAGTAATAAAGACGTACCCATATTTTTCCCGCATCATTTGGCACTGAAGTAATCAATCATCTGATTCATAGAAATGCTTCCAATTCCTTGCCAGTGTTTCATACCAACAACTCAGTCTTATCCTGACTTGTTAGAAAGTCACAAAGAGCTGATAACAAGATTTTTTCATCATGATATACAGGTAATATCATATACGATGTAGAAAACAAATTGCTCTTTTGATTTTTCTACAACGTAGAGAGTTATGAGAAACAGGTTTTCAGATCACTTGTCCTTAAATTCATAATCTCAATTATGCAGGTTATAATATCCGGAAAACCTGCAAGTAATCTTCAAAAGGATACTGTTAATACCGGTGAGGGTCTATTTTCTCTATTCCTTGTGGCCTTGTGGGCACTGATGGTAAGCTATTTTGTGTGCATAACTTTTATCATTTCGGCTCTCAGATATGCAGACGCACCCCTATAAGCCGTATTTGGACTATATTAGTACTTTGTTCTGCAATATGGAACCACTTTCTGAGCAAGAACGCAGACGGGTTATCATCAGGGATCAATTGCACACACCCTTGCAGGTTAGCTCTTCTTCATGTGGTCTAAATTTGTATTGGTAAAACTAGTCTCCTCTGTTTTTAAATATCATTTTTTGCTCTATTTTTTTATATGCAGCCACTGAAGGATAATTTAGAAGCCCAAATCTATGAAAGTCTTGAGAGAGACTCTGTTAAGTACATCCAAGTATGTTGCCTTTTGCTAGTTTTTAGTCCGCAGTTTAGTGTTAATTAGGTTGTCATGTCACTTTTACTGAATTCCCCCTTTTTTCTGACGTGATTCATCAGAAGAGACACAGTACCATTATTTATCAGTGTCTTTTTCTTAAGTTCGCAATATTTGTTTTGTTAGTATCAAAGGGCAATTGTTAAAGCTTTAGTGGAAAGGGTCCCTAGTGAGAAAGCGTCTGAGCTACCTACTGTAAGTCACCTGTATTTTTTTTTGGTTTATTACTCAAAAAGGGGGATTTCATGGATGGAATACTCTGATAGTATTTAAATTGTGGATTTTAGGTCCTGATGGTTGTGGGAGCAGGAAGAGGACCCCTTGTGAGGGCATCAATGCAGGTGAGTTCTAAAACTGGACTGATCATAACGAGAACTTGAAATTCATTTAAACATTTTGCGTTCTTTTCCAGGCAGCTGAAGAAACTGGTCGAAAGTTAAAAGTTTATGCTGTAGAAAAGAATCCTAATGCCATTGTAGCACTCCATGTAAGTTGTCAGAAACTGAGACAATTCTGATTCTACTGTTGTTCATTTCTTAAACTACAAAAGTTTTAAATTGTTAGTTTTTCGGTGCTGTCCTTTCTGACAGGGTTTGGTTAAGACTAGGGGATGGGAAGGCACTGTTACGATAATATCTTGTGACATGCGTTTCTGGAGTGCTCCTGAGAAAGCTGATATATTGGTCAGTAATTACAGGTTTTGGTGGCTATTTAATGTATACTCTATACATTGGAATCTTGTCGTTTGACACCTCTCTCTGTAGGTAAGTGAATTGCTGGGGTCTTTCGGAGATAATGAACTCTCTCCTGAGTGCCTCGATGGAGCCCAAAGGTTTCTGAAGCTAGACGGGATATCGATACCATCCTCGTATGCATATTCTCAGAAGAACCTCTATTTGTACTGTGAAATATGTCAGAAAGGATTAACAATATATATTTTTCTTCTGTTTCGTTTCAGATATACAAGTTTCATACAGCCAATTGCAACTTCAAAACTTTACAATACCGTAAGGTTTCTTCTGGTTTTTGCTTTTAATTGCTGCTAAAAACTTCATATCAACTTACGTTATTTGTCATCTATATATTGCAGGTTAAGGATCGCCACCATGTTTCCTACTTTGAAACGGTTTATGCTGTTAGACTACACAGTGTAGCTAGACTTGCTCCTTCTCAACCTGTGAGTCTCTCCTTTTTTATTGTGTTGGCTAAAAGTGTTGTCATGAGCAAACGAAGTTGTGATGGTCATCATTCGTCATTACATGTTGCTTGTGTTTTAGATTCTCAGTAATATTTGTTATTTGGTGTTAATAGGTCTTCACCCAACAACAAACGGTACAAGAAGCTGCATTTCGATCTACCAAGTGACACAGGTTCTGCTTTGCTTCATGGTATGATTTTCTCTGTGGTATCATCTCTCTTTCTCTCCCTCTCTCTCTCTCTCTAACAAAGAAACCAAATCTGATATGCGGTCAATTAACTTGTGTGACTAGGATTTGCTGGCTATTTTGAAGCTGTCCTCTATGATGATGTCCGTATTAGTATCGAGCCTACAACAGCAACACCAGACCTTCATGGCTGGTAATATTATCTCAACGCCGAACCACTTTGTTCTTGCGAAATTCAAAACTTCTTAAGACACTTAACTATGAATTTACATATGTTTATTACTTTGCAGGGCTCCAATATTTTTCCCGTTGATGAAACCTGTTCAAGTTCACCCTAACTCTCCAATTGAAGCACACTTCTGGAGATGTAGCGATTCCAAAAAGGTAAATAGTCAAAAAGAAAGAAATAAAAAGAATGAAGTCAAACGTAACAACATTGACAAATCAATATACTTATGCGTGTTTGGTTGGGCAGGTTTGGTACGAATGGTCCGTGTCTCAGCCAACACTCTTACCGATTCATAACGCAAACGGAAGTTCATACTCGATGGGTGGTCTTTAGGATTCTGATAGAACGAAGAATACATAAAGAAGACTAAAAAGATTGTGTGCGTACATATAAAAACTTGACGTTGTTCATAGTATTGGTACGTTGACCTTTAAGGATTCTTTTAGGACACAAAGAAAATAGAAGAGTGTATATAGAACCAAATCAAAGACTATATAGAGAACATTTAGTTCATACAAAAATGTATAGCTTTCATGGAGCATATATAAAATACGATATATTGATTGATGAAAACGTGTTGTTCGGTCGGGTGAAATAAATTTGTTGTCGTCGTCTCTCGTCCGGAATCGTGGCAAGAGAGAATGCGCGTGAAGTAATAATTGATACGACTAATCTAAACACGTATTGGCTTTAATGTACTTACCATTTTATTAATTTAGGAAGTCGATGGATACCAATACCATACAAGTATACAACTATAAACACGTAGTGATTGATTAGTTGAAAAAAATTATAAACACGTATTAATGTGTGACTCATGTTACGGGTAAGTAACTTTATTTTTGTATTTTTGTTGAAGCTCTTATTAGTAAACTTATAAAGCACAAGAAGACAATGAAAAAAAGAGTTGGAAAAAAATATGATTTGTCTATCTACTACTGTTTAAACTTTCCACACCATGATTGTTGGAGATGATTTCTCTTTTTGATTGATCCAATCTGAGGTTTTTTTTAACTGCATTGTAACTTTTAAACCAGCCAAATTCCATTAAAATATTTCATATTTAAAAACAATATTTGTTTTTCTTAGTTGATCAAAAAAAAAAAAACAACCCTTTAAGAGCAATTTGCTTAGTTTTTTACTTTTTTACCAAAATTTGTATTAAAGATTTATTCAAATTTTGAACATAGCATGTGATTGTTAATTAATTAAGTTATATTCTTTCTGTATTATTCATACACACAGTTTTTAATTATATAGTACATATATAGTTGCCAGAAAATTCTTATACATATTTTTCTTTTTTTCAATCTTCTCTTTAATTATTAACTCAAAAGAATTCTTAAAAATCAAGAGTCTCTTTAAACCCCTCACTAATCAAAATTAATAAGGTTTATTACTCGTTTAAGCAATTCCCTCGAAGTGGGGAAGAAAAAAACTTTAGCAGAGAGCGAAGCATCCCATTGTGTCCTCTTCTTCACGATATTCGAAGAAGTCTCTCCTTCTTCAACGTATCCTCAGATCAGGAGAAGACTTCGGCAAAGTATACGATTCCAAATTCCTAAGTTTTATCTACGAAGGATCCTGTGTAAGTTTGATTTCGAATAGTTGGTAGTTGAAAGTCGGATATGGCGGTGGGAGAGAAGGAGCAGGAAAGACCGGTGGTTGATAACGGCGGCGAGCAGAGTGATTCCGCCGTTGTACCTTCTGCCTCTGCTTCTGGCGAGAAGAAGAAGGAGACGAAGCGGAAAGGTTGGTTCTCGCGTATTTGGAATGGGATTTTTAGGGTTAGAGGTGATGATTTCGAGAAGAGGCTTAAGAACATCTCTAAGGAGGAATTGACTGTTCGGAATAGAATGAAACGTAGATCGATTACGAGGAGGAGCTTCATTAGAAATCTCATCGCTTTCTCTATCTTCTTCGAGGTTAGTCTCTCTTCTCTTCTTCTTCTGTTAATGAAGATTTCGCCTTTGTTGCTTTATGTTGAAGTTTATGGTTTAGTGTTGTTGTGTAGTGAGAACAGTTCATGAACAGTTTTCACTTTTTCTTTTGTGCCTACAGATAATTGCAGTGGGTTATGCAATCATAACTACTAGAAATGAGGATTTGGATTGGAAACTGAGGAGTTTCAGGATCTTGCCTATGTTTGTTTTACCTGCTCTTGCTTTTCTTGCCTATTCGTCATTTGTTGGCTTTTGGAGGATGTGTGAGTCTTTATATGCTCATTTTCATGTATAAAGTTAGCATTTTTGTCTTTGGATTGGTGTCTTGATTTTTATTTTTATTTTGTGTTGGAAATGGTGTGGTTTAGGTGACCGCAGAGATCAACATACGTTGGAAAAGCTTCAAGCAGAAATGCTTGGGAAGATCAATGAGTTAAAAGAGAGGACCAATTATTACATCACTCAGCAACTTATTCAGGTAAGATGCACTTCTGATATAGATAAGTTTTTTTGTGACCGAGGCTTGGTTTGAGTGAGACTAGGACCAATGTCATGTTCCTGGTTCTCCTGATTATTTCCATCGTCTTGTTTTGATGTGTGCTACCGTCATTACTTGCTTGCATTACTTTACCAAGTTCTGATAGCCATACAGATCACTTAATAGATTGTTGTATGTAATACTCTAGCTTTGTTGTGGGAAGAGATCCCCTTTCTTTCCTATTTTATTTTGCAAGTTATCTTTATACTTTGTTGCATTCAGAGATGGTCGTAAATTTAAACTTAGCAAAGACCATGGTATCGAAAATTTAGATTAACATTCCTTAAAGATAGTAGAGCCGTTAGACAAGTGTTATTCTTGTTGAGAGTCTCGATGTTGCTCATTTTCGATTCGTGTTAGCTTTGTCACTGTCAAACTAGTGCTGTATGTGTTAGGCAATGTTTTTTCAATTGTACTGGATAAAGGGTGGTTTTGAATCTTAACTTGAGTGTTAACAGTCAAGATTCATAGTTTCATTTGTGTCCCAAGTTGAGTTAATTGGAAATGATACAAATAACTGACAGGAAGAACTGCACTTGTGAATTCTGAAGTTACTTCTTCTACTGGTAGCGTAGACTTGCAATATGTTCAGCAACTTTAAGAAGCAATAAATTTCTGATATATCTCAAGATATGCTTGTTACTGTAGGTTTTATCACTACTGCTACTGGAACTTGTTTTAACATGACTATTTTTGTGTATCAGAGGTATGACCCTGACCCAGCTGCAAAGGCTGCTGCTGCAACTGTTCTGGCATCCAAGTTGGGTGCCGAGTCAGGCTTAAAAGTATTTGTAGGAGATGAATCCCAACTTGAGCCCACCGCAAGCAAGAGCAGTGGCATGGATGTCAAACACTCAAAAGGGCTCAGGAACCGAAAACAACCAAGTACAAGACGCACCAGTGCTGGGACCACTCCAACACATCATTCTGATAATGAGTCTAACCATTCAGGAACAAGCGAAAGAATCACCGACACAGAGCAAAACCAACAGATGGTGTTTGAGCATTATAATCCTCAGGGACATGCTGCTCATGATGGTAGCTGGATCTCACGCATTGCGGCTCTCCTTGTAGGTGAAGATCCAACTCAGTCATACGCTCTCATCTGTGGAAACTGCCGTATGCATAACGGTGAGTGAGCCATTATCTCTCTCTTTCGTCTACTAATACACCAAACTCCCACATATTGTCTTATGCACAAGATGCAACGTTTTTACTAATTTAAGTGTACAATGTCTCTCTTCCTCTCTCATTATGCAGGACTCGCCCGGAAAGAGGACTTCCCGTACATTACTTACTACTGTCCTCATTGTCGAGCTCTGAACAAGCCGAAACATTCAGAAGAGCATTCACTTACCGCTCCTGCTGATACACTACCTACAGTTTCTCATAAGCCAGTGGAAAGTGAAGTGATCAATAGCAGTAGCTCGACTAGTGAACGCGGTAACAGTCCAATCCCTTTGTTAAACACTCCAGAAATTGTGGAAGTTGTCCCGGAAACAGCTGAGAGCGTGACACCAAACTGACCTGAGAGAGTCCATGTGAGGTAAAAAAATGTGCTAGAACGAGAGGTAGAGAGAGAGAGCGAGAGAGAGATGTGGAGTGAGGAAAATGATGAGGCCGATATGCTAAAATCTGTAGATGCTTGCAATTTTGATTGTGGAATGAAGTCTGAACACAGACAATCTGAATAGTTCTTACACTGCTTTTTTATATTTGTCTTTTACCATTTGAGACAAAAGGTAAACTGTTGAGTAAATATATTGGATATAATTCCCTTTGCTTTTTTTACAAATTACAGTAAATTTACGAAATTGGTTATTACTTACTAACATACCAAAGGCACCGAGGCGAAGAGGTAATTTACATTTTCCAAAAAAAAAGGTAGATTATTAAAATTTTTACCAAAAAATAAAATTATTCATAGCATCAAAAAAAATAACAGTTACTTTTTTCTTTTTAAAAGTAGAAATTTTGGCATTGAGACATTTATAGTAAATGTAATAATAATTAAATGTAATAAAGTAATAAGAAAATAACTTTATTACATTTCATTGTACTAAATTTTGGTCCTTACTTTATTACTTTATTAAATTTAATTATTTTCTTTTATTTATGTAATTTCTTTTTCTTAAAATCATAAAAGCTATCACAATGTTGTATAATAAATTACTTTCAAATTGAACAGAACAAACACATGGGCAATTTTACATATAAAACTTCTTTTCTCGTCAACTCATATAACAAATCGTTGACGAAAAAAAGAAGATAACAAATCTACATAATAAAGGCCTAATTAGCAAGAACTATAAAAAAGGAGACACTTGACATTGAATCAAAATCATGTTGAAATCAAGATTACAAAAAATACAAGGAAAAGTATTAACATCTTGTAAATAAATGGGTTCGTTGTTTGTTGACCATTCATTTTCATTAGTTAGATTCCGTACTTCTTCTCAAGTTATCAATCTTAAAACTTATTTGGTTATCTTGAGGTTTGTCAGTTTTATCAAGAAGATTCTTTAGATCTCATCTAAATGTAAACGGAATCCTTGACAATATTAGATTACAAATTTTTTAGAAACACTAGCTCTTATTGATAGTATTTTCTTACACAATAGTTTTTTTAATCTTTTATTTTTCATCTAAAAATCATACATTTTTTTATAAGAAGTTATATGTCACGACAAAGTCTTAATTACATTTTACCAAAAAAGTTAAATGACCATAATGATATATACATATGTTCCCATATACATTATTCTCAAATTTACATGAATTAATTTGCTGTTTTATATATGCAGGGGCGGACCCACAGCCAAGGTGGTGGGGGCAGCTGCCACCAGAAAAAAAAAAAAAAAAAAAAAAAAAATTATTAAAAAATTAATAAAAATTTATTAAAAAATTATTAGAAAACAAAATTTGCCCCCACAGAAAAACTATTTTTCATTCTTTTTCTTGGAAAGCCCATTAATTCATGTAAGAAAAAATATATATATATAAATTGAAGATTTACTAATCTGGACCTAATTTTTTGTTATTTTCTTTTTATTTAGTCCTTTGGTTTCTTTGTGTAACAACAAATCAACAACTATCAATTTGTGAGTTTATTTACCTGCTTTTTTTACAATCGTTTCTATTATATAAGCATTATTTTTTAGTCAGTTAATTTTATTTAATCAGTTCAAGCTTATAACTATGTTTCCTGGAAAACATTATATAGGTTTTTATGTTATACATGACTATATTAGTTTTTGCAGTGACAATTGTTTATATGTTTATTATATGGTTAAGCTTTTATGGAAGTTTATTACATTATTCAAAAATATAAAATTAATAAATTTTAAAATATAAGTCTATAAATTCAAAATTTTCTAAATTTTTAATTAAGAACATGTTTTTTTTTTTTAATTATTTGAATCTGTCACAAATGAAAATGTGGTAAAAAGGTTTCAATTGTTAAATGAGCGTCGAGTGGTTTTGTAAGATGTTTTAAAGTTTTTACATGACAATTTTATGTTCTTTTATAATTTAGTATTTGATAATTTTTTTACTATATTTTTGCCCCCATTAAAAAAAATTTCTAGATCCGCCCCTGTATATATGCATGAATGTATATATGTACAATTTACAATTTAGAGATATAAAGATACAAAATGTGTAAGTTTTTCATAAATATGTGGGTGTATACGTACATATAGTGAACATAATCTTTTTATCTACCTCATAGGCAATATTATTTTTGTAAAATCTAGTGAAGAATCTCATATATAGATATTCTTAAACATACCTCTCAAGTATGCATGCAATACTTTGCAAAATTTGTAGGTAATAAATTCTTGGTTATATTGATATTAGGATCTTTTCAAGTCACCAACAATGTTTAGCACTTTAGTTTTGACTTTGGAGCAAGATGTTGCAAACTAGGCATAAGTTGAACCAAAACTACGATGCTAAGATGTAGTCTTTACTAAGACTATCAAATATACACTATCAAATATACATTATGATTCTTTTACTAAGACTATCAAATATACATTTCAATGTAAATTCATTGTAAGTGTGATATCCTTCAATAATCCCAAGTATTCACAAATATTGTTTTTCGTCCATAATTAAATGGAGATAAAAATGTCTTTGTGTTCTAAAAATAATTTGTATAATTCTATGATTGTGCGTTGTTTATTTTTAAATAAAACTTGTTTTAGTTTGTGTATTTTATGTGATTTTCTTTTACAATGTCCTATTTTTTTTAACTATCACATTTACACAATTTTATGATTTGATGCAAAATTACAAGACAATGAATACACTCACGAATATTGAAACCAATTGAACTCAATTAAGATTATATACACAAGCTTAATTACAACAATGAACCAGATTTTACTAAGCTCAATTAAACCAGAGATAACCAGATGAACCATGATCCTAATAAGTACAAATAAACGACACATCTCAGTTTCTTCCTCCCGCCAAATATTCTCCACCATCACCTTCCATTGTTATCTCCTTCCTCTCTCTCTCATACCTTAAAACATAAACCCACCAAAACAAAAACTTCTTAAACTCTTTTTTTTCTTCTTTTCTTTTCTTAGATTCGAAAGAGAGAGGGAAGGAGAGATTTTGGGGTTTATGTTTATGTTTTCTCTTCCTTTCTCAAAGAAAGTTCTTCTTTTTTTTTTCCTTTTTCTTGAAAAAATATGGGTAATGTGACGTCAAACATGGCGGCTAAGTTCGCTTTCTTCCCACCGCCACCAACATACGACGTTAGTAAAAACGAGGAGACCGGAATGCTTATGTTCACCGGGATTACCCCGGAGAAAAGCATGGATGTTCATCAGCTCACCACCAAATCCGGTAACAAAGTCATTGCCACGTTTTGGAAACACCCTTTTGCTAGATTCACTATTCTTTATTCACATGGCAATGCCGCGGATCTTGGCCTATTGGTTGATCTCTTTATCGAGCTTCGGATTCATCTCCGCGTCAACATTATGAGGTTTTTATATATACAAAACCCGAAAAAAACACGTTTCTTTTTGTTGATGAATGAATCCTGAAACCTGAACCTCTTCCATATGTTATTGAAACAGCTATGATTATTCAGGCTATGGAGTTTCAACTGGCAAGGTAAGAGATGTTTTCATTCCAAGATGTCAAAACATTTGTCATGATTGGGCTCCTTTTGTTTAACCTTTGATTGTTCTTTAGCCAACTGAGCGCAATACGTATTACGATATTGAGGCTGTGTACAATTGCTTAAGGAGCGAGTACGATGTCAAGCAAGAGGAATTGATTCTGTATGGTCAATCTGTTGGAAGCGGACCAACGTTGCACTTAGCATCTCGGTTGAGGAGACTAAGAGCGGTTGTTCTTCATAGCGGAATTCTCTCTGGCCTTAGAGTTCTGTATCCTGTAAAAATGACATTCTGGTTCGATATGTACAAAGTAAGCTTGATTCTCTCTTGTCTCTGGTTACTATTGGGTCAGCCTCTTAAACTCTGGAATTTTGCAGAACATTGACAAGATACGCCTTGTGACATGCCCTGTTCTTGTCATACATGTAAGTTTACATCATCACTTTTTCTCACTAAGCAAAGAGCGCAAAAGAGATAAAACTCGGTTTTTCGAAATTGCCAGGGAGCAAAAGATGATATTGTCGACATTTCACACGGGAAGCGATTGTGGGAACTTGCAAAGAACAAGTATGATCCGTTGTGGGTTAAAGGAGGAGGGCATTGCAACTTGGAGACATACCCTGAGTACATCAAGCACATGCGAAAGTTCATAAACGCAATGGAGAAACTACTTCTCAACAATCCGCCAAACCAACAACAAAACGATGATCCAAGCATCAAGAAAACTAAGCAAAATTGCTGCTTCAGATTCAAGAAAAGCTAGAGCTGGATTATGAAGGTAGAAGACACACAATATAGATGATTCCTTCCTTTGCAAGTTGCAATTACACAAAGTCACTTTCCTCAGACAATGCTAACCAATGGTTCAATGCAATCACAGAAAAGACGACAAGACAATTGCGAACAAGACATCATCTTTGACTCTTTGTAGGATTTAGCCTTGTAAAAATCCCAAATATTTGGAAATTTCCAAACAACAATACTTTATCATTTACTTGTAGTTGAAGCAACAATACAAAGAAGCTCCAAACTTTTTCCCGACGCATTCATATCAACAGAAAAAGGAAAGATCTGAATGCGTAATCCCGAAACAGAAACAACAACGAACATACTAAAACAGAGAAAGAGCCAAAAGTCGATAATACTTACTTAATGAATATCATTTAGGGGAATTTCAAACCCCATTGTTTGAGAATCTCAACACAGCTGACATTTTCATCTCTTTCATTGAGATCCTCTCCACTGTTACGAAGAAGAGCTTCGATAATTTCTTTGAAAGGTATAACTTCATCAGAGCCGTCCGGTTTAGAGACCTTGATCCCTTTAGTTGTGGACGCAGAACCGAGATTAAGAACTCTCTCAGGAGACTTGAGAGCTCCATTATTAGCCACATAGTCAAAAATTGGATTTTTCAAACCCATGGTGCTTCCGAGTACATCACCAGCAGCAACAGACGGCGGAGAAGACAAAGACACGGAATCAAAGTGAACATCCGTCTCCAAAACCCTAACTTTATTCGACGGTGAACCAGAAACAGGCTTCGTGGCGGCCGTAGAAGACGGCGATTTCAAATTCGTCTCCAAAACCCTAACCTTTTCCGAGGGTGGAGCAGAAACAGGCGCCGTCTCAGTCGTAGAACACGGAGATTTCAAATTCGTCTCAAAAATCCTAACTTTTTCCGACGGTGAAGCAGTAACAGGCGCCGTCTCAGGCGTAGAAGACGGAGATTTCGAATTCATCCCCAAAACCCTAACTTTTTCCGACGGGGAAGCAGAAACAGGCGTCTTCTCAGCCGTAGAATACGGAGATTTCGAATTCGACACCGAAACCCTAAAATTTTCCGACGGTGGAGAAGAAAGAAGCATTGTCTCGGCGTAAGAATACGGAGATTTCAAATTCGAACCTTTTTGAGATTTAACCTCAGAAACCCTAACTCCAGGTTCGGAATCAGCGGGAGAGGAGAGAGAAGCGTTCTCAGGAGGAGTACGAAAGACGTCTTCGTTGATGGAATCGAGGCTAGTCGGAGTAGAGAACGATAGAACCGGAGTTTTCAGAACCGCCGGCGAAATCAGGTTTCCAAGAACCTCAGTGTTGTTAGAATCCGTCGACTTCGTCGGAGAAGTTTCCTGGCCGGCAAAAGGACAGTTCTTTAGGTAAGATCTCTGCGATGAAGTGATGCTTTCGAGTTCGCTCGAGTCGCTTCCAGCATTTTCCGCCATTTTTGATGAGTGAGTGACTCTTCCACTGTCTCTGAGTCTCCTCCATTATAGTGGAAGCTTCAGTGTAGTAGAACCAATTTCGGTTTAGTCAAATTCTATCCCCGGTTTGGTGTACCATCAAAGAATCCAATTGGTTTCAGATTTCAAAGAATCCTATTGGTTTAAAATAAAAGTTAACATGAAATATAAGAGAGTAAACATAATTAAGTAATACAAAGCAAAGTTCACTTCTCTCTATCCTTAGATTGTTCATCCAAAAGATGAACTTTTGTGTTGTGTTGTTCATAGAATCTGTCTTCAAGCTTCGAAGAAAACGAAATTTAGCTAAAAGAAAAGAAATTGAAAACAAAGAAGAAATAAAACACTCAAGAGGCTCTGTTTCTTTCTTCCTTTTTTTTTGTTAGTCGATCTCCACAATCTGAGGCCTCCTCTCTGCAGCTTTCTTGCGTATGAAGATACCCCATCTCAAAGCAGCCTTAAGCTTAAGCCATCCAACTACAGCTTTCCCTGAGCCTCTGTTACGTTCTCTTCTGTACGTGTTATCGAGCTGAGCTTGGTATGGGATGCTATAACCATAACAAGATTCATTGGTCTGACCAAACCCGCCTTGTGTTCCCACAGTGTTCACACCGATCCCAAATGTCTTCAACAGTCTCTGCATATCATCAGTCTCAAGCATTTCAGAACTCCTTAGTCTGATTTCTTCACTGAAAATGTCTTCAAGACCTTGTCCTGCAGCTCTTGGTCGACACCAATCTTCTCCACTGAATGAGCTTGAGTCATTGGAACTTTCCACTGACCTGTTGTAGTCCTGTACGTTGCAAGGGAATGAGGGTAATAATTGGCTGCATTGTTGCTGCACAAACTGAGGATATTCTATTTGTTGAGGGACCAGTGGATAGGTAATAGCATTTGGATGGCATTGCACAGTTTGCCTGATATGCTGGTTATGTAGTTGTTGATGGTTCTGAGCTGTTTGTGCTGTGGCCATTTTTGGTTCCGGTAAGCTTTTTATTTCCTTCTTGGCGACTGGTAAGCAATTCAATAGCTTACCATCGTATTCAATAGCTTTATGCCAGTTCTCGTAAGCCATCTTCACCAAAATGTCTGCTGAAATCTGTGAGCTAACACCAATGATCAGCTTAATAACAAAGAAAGAGTTTTCAAATCTTTATAGAAATATGTCTGTCTTTACCTTTTGGTCATGGTTAAGAGACTCCAGAGACAGGAACTGTCCATTTGCAATAAGGCCTCGGAATTCATAGATATGATTGAAGACCACGCCTGTAGCATGAGTCTGATCTGTGTAAAACACATAGAGCTTTCCACCCAACACGCATGTCTTTGCATGTTCAACCGTATTCTCCCACATTCTATTCGACATTCCACTCCCAAGCAACTACAATATCAGGGGAAAAAGAAACACGAATATTTAACAAGTATACATCTTTGGTAAAGTTGGCAGTTATTTCACATTAACAGATAGATATGCTTACATTTCTCAGCTTTTGTGGATCCTTAACAAGGAGTCGAAGGAAGTCTTCGACTGTCACGATATTAGCTTTCAACAGCTTCTTATGTAACACTCCATCTTTCGCTATTCTATCCAGTCTCCAGACTTCATCATGTACAGCCGGTGGATAATGTTTCTTGTATACTGCAAAACATTGTTAAAGAAAATGAAATTGTAGAAGACAGACCCAAGTTATTAGTAACAACTCTATACTTGTCAATACAATATATGTTATAAACTCACGTTCTCCTCTATGATCTTTGACAGCAAAAGGTTCTGTTTTGGCTTCACGAATGAGAAAGCTATCACCATACCCTGGGGCCAGCTTAACACCAAGCCTAAACTTTCTACTCCTTATCCAACTCGAGTTGTCGGTAAAAGTAAGTTCTCCTAAACTTCCCACACCTTCCTTAAGCATCACCTGTGTGTCACCGGTTAAGATTGGGCGCTTCCCTTCTCGTTCTTTCACTTCAAAGCTCTCAAAGTGCTCTTTCGTCCAATCTTCATCGTCTTCATCGTTGAAGTCTCCCTCTAACACTACAACATTCAGCTTTGAAGCAGACTCTTCTCCTATTTGGACTACATTTCCTGTGTTTGCATCTATAAGAACCACATGAATTGCTGAGCCTCGCTCTCCCTCGACTTTCCCACCTGTGAATAAGTGAGGAGGCATTCGCGTCCTAAAGTGAAGTTGCAGGTTTCTTCCATTGCGGTCTTGGATCCTCTTTGGTTCAGGTGACCTGGAGATTTTATGTTGGTTTAACCAGAAACTCAAACACTACAAGGACTACCGAGTCATTTCAAGAGGAAAAGGTATCACGGGAGAAAATACCTCGACGTTAACTTTGCATTTCCCAATCTTGATAAAGCTCGTTCCACCTCTTCACTAACCTGTTTGTTTGCCCACATTGTAACAAATTTACAACTCCGCAAGTATCTCACAATTTACTCTAGAAGCAATAATATACATGTCTAGGAGAGTAGAATTAAAACTTACAATTCTGCGAAACAATGGCTCCAAAGACGAGCAAAGCCTCTGCAAACTATCTACCTTGACAGCTTCCACAATAACACTGTACAAAAAAAATTATAAGACATAAGAAAATCAACAAAGTAAAATCGAATCGAGAGGTTTGGAAAAGTAACAACAAAAGTTTGAGACCTTACAAGAAAACATCTCACAACAGAGGATATTTCTCAACACAGAAAGAGTACAGAATTGGAAAACGAAGCATGTTCGTCTTTAATAGTTGTGATGTTAACCATTTAGCAACTACTTTGAACTCGAAGATGACAGAAAATCTTTAAGGAAGTTACCTTGCCAAAGCAGGCACTTTTTGTCTCTTTGATTCAGGCAACTTGTCTGTATCCTCTTGACTGCATTCGTATCCTCGCTTGTTCATGGAACCTTCCATTTAAGAAAAAAAGAATTTGCAATCTCTGTGTTCCGAGATATACAAAAACTATTCCAAAGTTAGAAAAAAACAGCAGAAGTCCACGAAGGAAGCTTCAGAGAAGAACACAAAAGAAACATAACCACTTATAAGTTGAATATAGAACAAAAAGCCACAAGCTATAGAGTTTGGACAACCCACATGGGTCTAGACGGTTTGCAGAAGTCACTGAACCGAGATCTGTTCTTTAATGGTAGATCTAAAGCGTTAATAAAAAACTTTAAGGAATCTGTCCATGTGAGCATTAGAATAATGCAAAGAGAGTATTATTAATAGCTGACACTGAAAATAAACAAATCAAAATAAACTGAAAAAAGCAGCTGTTTTTGTGCATGAATGAATATTGAAAGTTGGTGCTGCGTAATACCTGGAGCTATCATATGCTGCATTATGTCAACCCTTTCTTGACTTGTCCAGTTTTGTCTCTTTCTCTGCTCTTGTCCCTCTTCACAAACTCTCATGTTTCTTTAACATCTGGAAAGTCTCTGTTAGTCTTTACAAAGAAACACAGAGTTCAAGCGACTCTTGACCCACTTATGTTAGGCCATACAATACAAATCCTCTAAAAAAATCAAAGCAGTCAATCAGATGCAAATCTCAACAAATACATAATCCAACATAATTATATATTTTTGCTTTGGCTGATGAGAAAATGATGGTTGGGTTTGCCAATGAACATGAAAAATAAAATACAGAAGTCGGTGACTTGTTGTTCAATGTGACTGGACAAATTATATATCTGAAGAAAAGTCAATACAAGGCTAACCCCTTTATTTAGCTATATTTAGATCCAAGAGCAAAACAACAAACTCCTACATACATAAAAGAACATGGGAGATAAAGACATTGCCTTGAGAATTAAGCGATTCCCATGTTCTCATGAGCTGTATGCGGAAGAGAAAATCTAGTTTGCTTCCCTCAAGAAGCTCTTCAGAGTAGACTGAGAAGAAGTCAGTAAACAGTGGATTACTTACTCACTTTCCCAACCTAATTGCCGAGCTCTGCGCTCCCACAATAAAGTGTTCTTCCGCTCTTTGAGCAACAATGCTTGAGCTCTCTCTCTAGCTGATTCACAAATTTCCGTGGCAGCGTTGCACTTCTCAGCCTCCTTTTGGTACTGTGAAGCAACTCTTTTTGCTTCACCAAGTGTAACATGCATATGACGACTATGCTCGTCTGCAACTACTTCTTGCAGCTTCAGCTCTTCTGTGAGAAGATCCACAAATTGCTTCTCCATCTCCTGTTTGAGCTCTGGATCATCACCTCCACATCCTGATACACAACATAAGTCAATATTCATTTCCAATGGACTAAAAAGAGGAACATCTTAAAAACAGATAAATGTAACAACTATTTGTTAAAAAAGTTTCATAATGCAACAGATAAGAGAATCTCAGGCTCCCATGTCTGATCAAGAAAACCCAATTAAAGTAACCTTAAGAGAAATAGCTACGCCCATCAATGATTAACCAGATTCCTAGAATATCAGATGATTCAATAATGGTCTTCATTGAGGTATCATCAGAGAGCCATTCTCATTCATATTAAATCAGTAAAGACACACTATACTAGAGAAACTGAAGAAACAAGCTTGGGAACGAAATCTAACCTGCAATAGAGAGGTTTGCAAGCCCTGCAATCAAAGAATGAAACTTTATTAGTAATTCAGACTCCTATGGCATATTCAATGAATTATTCAACGTAAAAGCCGTAGCTTGATTGAAAGATTCATCACAGATGGTTCCGAGAGCACGATCTAAGCATTCGCGAAAATATAGAAAGATTTATTCTTTATGAACCAAATTGAAAACCCAGATGCTAAATTGGAGTTTGAACAATCACAGTACCTGGAGCAATCTGGAAGAGAGACAAAGGAGGAGGACAATCACAGTTACAAGGAGGACAAATGGAGTTGCTACGAGCAGATCCAACGAAACCCTTATTCAATTTCCAATAAAGAGCAGGTCCACATACGATTAGAGCTGATACCACCGAGAATATCACTAGACATCTCATGCAATTTCCAGACCTCCGTGCCATTGCTGCGGTGACGAAAGCTCAATTTTCAAGTTTTATCGATCAGATCACATTTCACAGTCTTTAGAGCAAAATTGGCCATAGT